GCCCCCACCCTCCCTTGCAATGAAGAACACGGACCCACCTGGGCCACCTACCGGCCGCCGAAGGACCTTACTTCCTATATACCCGGCTCACCACACAGCTACGACTACTACGACTACGTAGATCTCTACCACGTCACGGCACGACATCGGCCACCGCTTTGTCGACACTGAAGCCACCGCGAGGCACGCACAGACACGCACAGGCATGATGATGGAGGAGGCCCATCGTCGTTCCACGGAAGCCATCAACAGTGGACGCGCGCTACGCAACACCAAACGCGTCGCCGTCGAGCGCGCAGAGGGTTGCGGTAGCCCCCACGGTGACCCCCCCCAGGTGACCCCCACGGTGACCCCACGGTGACCCCACAGTGACTGTCACGGTGACCCCCCACGGTGACACCCACGGTGGGGAAAGCCACGGCTCTGAGAACAACATGCAGCGCTTGCCGAGAATTCACACCTTTTTTTAACCACTGGCCAGTTTTCTGTCTAAGTGACTACATTATCATAATCGTAGTAACTACTTAGCAGTGGTGTAGTGGATCTACAGTATCAGTGGCGTGGTGACTACATTATCAGTGGTGTAGTAACTACATGTATCAGTATCGTAGTAACTACATTATCAGTGGCGTGGTGACTACATTATCAGTGGTGGATACTACATTATCAGTATCGTGTAACTACATTATCAGTGGAGTGGTGACTAATTATCAGTGGGGAGTGACTACATTATCCAGTGGTGTAGTAACTACATTATCAGTGGTGTAGTAACTACATTACAGTGGTGTAGTGGGACATACATTGTCAGTGGTGTAGATAACTACATTATCAGGAAGTAGTAACTACATTATCAGTGGAGTAGTAACTACATTATCAGTGGGTAGTAAATAACATTATCAGTGGCCTAGTAAACTACTCCTACTGTCCCTCATCACGTCTACCGCGTTTTGAACACGAAGGCTTTTCGCGACCAATCTCCGGCGAAGCGTAAATCTACTCGAATTGTAAATGTCGCGATGTTACTACCAACGCAACCGTGTGCTGACTAGCAACTTAATTGGCCTCTTTGTTTACGTGACAACCTGAAATAAATTGGCTGTGTCGGGTGGTGGCGCGTTTAAACAACAACGTTGATATTACACGATCTAATCTAAAACACCTTTCATGAATTAATACCGCGTTTTAATACTTTTTTGTTTGTATTTTACAACCGTTGTGAAAACATATATGGTTGGTTAAGAGGGGGCCCCAATTCAGTAGGCTTTGGCCACCGCAGCTCGGGGTCAGGGTGTGGTCAAAGCACCCACTGCTCCCGCGATCGTTACGCGACTGCCCCACCCAGAACACATCGGCAGGCCCGCGCTAGGCACGAGTGGGGGTGTTTATTCTATCCCTCCACCGGCTGTTTGCCAAGCCGAGCCGGAATCAACTCTGAAACCCCTCCACGCCGCAGCCACCTCTCAAAACACCGCGATCTGGTTGGGGACAAAGCAGGGCCAGGCTGGCACCGTGCTTGCTCGGCTGTATCCGGTCACGTGTCTTGGGCGGCGAGCGGCTCGCAATGGCAAAAGCCGATGAGATCACATCATGCTTGGGAGTTGACCGCTGTTGATTTCCGCTTTGTGTGGAAATCAACAGTGGTCGCCCAATGGGGGGGCTGTAGGGGGGGGGGCGGTGCGGGGGGGGGGGGTAGTGGGGGGGGGGTGCATGGTGGGGGGGGGGCCCCTGTGATGTGGGTTCCCAGTAAGTTTGACCGCTCTCTCTCTCTCTGCTTGTTTGCTGATTGGTAATTTTGCCGTTGCGTTGCAAAATTAAATAAGACGAGAAGCAGTTAGTGTTGTTGCTTTGGTGAGTGTGTGGTCGGTCTGAATACGGACCGCCGTGACCCGCCCTTTGCACGGGAAACCCCGCGGGTATTACAATGATACAAATAACGGTTGTGTGTAGAATAAGTTAAATTGTCTTCTTGTTTCTTTCGGTAAAGTCACGTAGAAGGGAAGTAATAAAATAATAAAAATAAAACATAATAAAACAATTCTTTTTATATTTTATTACTTCCCTTCTCCGTGACTTTACCGAATAAGAACCAAAGAAGATGAATCCCTGCAGTCACGAAAGCTTTAAATCGAAAGTTAAATTGTGGTAGCGCTGTGCGGAGAGAGGAGAGAGACGGTGGACAAACTCCGCGGAGCGAGAAGGCGGCAATCAGCTATCAGCAGCCACGCAACGAGGAGCCGGACGCTACCCAACAATTGCCCACGTTCTGCGGTCCTGTCTGTACGACTGGGGGGGGGGGGGGGTGGGGGGCGCTCGTGATTCGGACAATCGTCGCTTGGGTCTCAATCCGTCGATTGACTCCCCCCCGCCACCCACTCACCCCAATTGTATGTCGATTAGTGTATATTAATGTACGGTCCAATGCTATGTATAGTATTTTTGTGTGTCTATGGGTCTCTGTAAGTCCATGGATACAATGCTATTCCATACTCTCTATGTATGTCTATGGGGTCCCTGAAGAACTATGGGACAATGTTATTCTATAGTACCTATGTAAGTCTGTGGGTCATGCATTACGAAATGTTTTCTATGTATGTCTACGGATCTCTGTGTAAGCGTGAGTGTGTGTGTGTGGGTTTCTGTTGTGAGTCTATTGTCAGTTGAAAACGTTCCGATAATTGTCGGTAAAGTCGGCAAATGTGTTCAATGCGCGTCCTGTGCTATCACGTGGCCTTCGAGCAGTGGATCCGTCAAAAGTGTCGAGTCCGCGTCTCCCGTGCCACTACCAGAGCCGACTCGACGGTGAAGTGGTCAACAGCCGGAGGCCGCAGACCCGGCCCACCTTTTTGCCCGCCAACGATTCGGTTCGGGAAGAATACTCCCAGGAACGCGGGCAGCGAAAACGTCGGACATCGCGTGCCCGAACGACGACGACGGAGCCGCTTGGCCGGGGTTGGGGGGTTGATAAAAAATAAAATAAAGGCGACGTCTACCTCCGAGATCCGGGCCCCCCCCCCTTCTCCTTACGCCATGGGGGTCGCCCCCCACTCCTGCCTGGAGCCCACGTGGGGCTGTTGGGGCGAGTGCTGTCACGGCGCACGACGGCGTTGTGGGCAGTGCCGGATTACACTCGTAGCACAAGTAGCTACTACACGTGTGTAGTAGCTACACATGTGTAGTAGCTACATGTGTAGTAGCTTCTTGTGTAGGCTACACGTGTAGTAGCTACCCACATGTAGTAGCTACACGTGTAGTAGCTACCTGTGTAGTAGCTACACGTGTAGTAACTACACATGTAGTAGCTACACATGTGGTAGTTACTACACGTGTAGTAGCTACATGTGTAGCAGCTACACATGTGTAGCTACATATGTAGTAGCTACTACACATGTAGTAGCTACATACATGTAGTAGCTACACGTGGTAGTTACTACACGTGTAGTAGCTACGGGCCCCGCACTTTCAAGGGCCCCGCGCTAAATGCTTTCAAGCTATCAATTCCGGTCAGTGAATCTGCACTTGCTCTATCACTATAGTACTAATACGCCTTCAATTTAATGAACGACTGGGCGTTTAGGTAGGTGAGCGATTGTCGTATTATCTGGCTGCGTAGCAAATAAAAAACAATACAATGACTTACTACGCAGTCTGTGAACAATGTTTGCGTTTTAATATTCGCGTGCTTTTAAATTTTATTCAGTGGCCACTTCTTATAACATAATCCTACAGGCCCCGCACGAGTTTAATCCGGCAACCGGTTGTGTGGGGGGGGGGGGGGTGGGTCGGCACCACGCAACGTGCGGCCGCACCAGCTTGCTCATTCGAGGGCTCCGGGTCGTTCCTTCGAGGGGGAGAGCCCGGGACCGGTTCGGATATTTCTCGCCGTCCCGCAAGGTCGATGGGTCGATCGAACGCGGCCGTGATCACCTCGAGCCACGTTGCGCAGGGATTGGTTGGGTTGGAGTGGGGGGGGGGGGCTCTCTCTGTCTGTTCAGTCCTACCTCCTCGAATCTTCACTAAGTGCAAAACCACCACCCCATGGCGATTTGAATTTGAGCTCTTTTCAAATCACCAAGCTGGTGTTGGTTCCACCGCGATGATTTGAAGTTGGTACAAAACACCAGCTCTGAGCTCAAGTTGAAATCACCAAGGATGGAGCCAAACACCACCTTGGAGTCAAACACCACCTTGAAATCACCACGGGAGGAGTCAAACACCACCGTTGGTGATTTCAACTTGAGCCCTTCAAGTGGGGGGTTTTAAAAATACAAAATATTAAAATTAAAATAAATTTCTATTTTAAAATCGTGACCGTTTTGAAGATAATTTCGGCCACGTGCGATTTCGTCGTGTTGACCATTTCGGCCACGTGACTGTCGGAGTCAACGCCCTGACAAAGCGACGCCCGTCGCGACCCTGGAGGGCAACGCAACGCAAGCGCAGACGGAGGTCGCCCGCTTGGGGCAGAATATCACGAGGCGGATTGAGCGGCGCCCTCCTCCCCAGAGGTCGCAAACGGGTTTTGATTCCTTACCCGTACCCGACCGCACCAGGGTCACAAACGGCGACCCGTTCCCTATACCCGAAATGAGTGACAAACGGCTACTCACCAGTGACTCACGGCCTACCCGTACCCGTACCCGACCGCACCAGGGTCACAAACGACTACCCGTACCCGCTGGGTACGGGTAGCCGGGTATCGGGTAGGGTACGGTATGGGTACCTGGTTGCGACCTCTGCTCCATCCCCTCCACAAACCGCTTGGCGTTGTTCGCGCGTGCTGTCCGTCAGAACCAGGGCGCACGCGGACCAAGCGATGCCCCTTTTTGGCCTGTTGGGTCCTGCAAACAGATTTATCCAGCGCATTGAGGCTCGCTCTGCTCCCCACGGCACATCTGAACGTCGGAGAGTTTGTTGTTGTTGTTGTTGTTTGTTGCTCGCGCCGCTTGACATGTACGCACTGCGCGTTCGTGCGGCCGACGGTTCGTGCACAACCAAGCGGGGCCGCCGTTACCCCCCTGTTAGCTACGCGGGGGGGTGGCTCGCTCCGTCGCCTACCGAGTCCGGATCGCAGCGCGCCAGCCTTGCGCCCTGACCGATACACGAAGCTCTTCCTAGACGTCTACATTTGCGTTCGCAAAGGCTCCTAAATGTGTGTGGGGGGGGGTCACCCCGGGGTTAACCGTGCAATAGCGGCGTTTTAGTTTCAGTGATTCGGCGCGGTTGGCTACGTGCGGCGCGCGAGAAGTCGGACGCGCACAACGCACAACACAACACGTGGCGCGTGGTATGCTCTCGACTCAAGCTACCGCGCCCCAGGGCCTCCACCGCGATTCCAATCGGGGCTCAGCCACGCGCTCGTGTCAGGGATGATAACACGCGGCTCACAGTTGTGGCAAATCGTTGAGAGAGAGGGAGAGGGGGGAGGGAGGAAGGAAGGGAGGGCGAGGTGAGGGAGAAGTGAAACGACCGCGTGAGACCAGAAAAAAAAATTGCGCGACGTTCGCGAAAGAAAGGAGCGGGGAGACGAAAACGACGCGGCAGCATCGCGTACGGAGACGAAACAGCGCGGCGAGAAAGCGACGACGGTCAATCACGGACATCGACAGCTGAAGGATGCCGAGTGAAGGGCGAGGAGGAGGAGGAGGAGGAGAGGAGGGAGGGAGGGGGAGGGAGGATGAGGAGGCTGTGGCGCACGTGGATTGAATAACGTGTTCTTCTTCTTTTAAATATGTTGGGATCTTCTTCCTCGTCCCTCCTCATCTTCATCCTCCTCCTCCACTCGTTCGCTCGCTCCTCTTCTTCTTATTCCTGCTCCGAGGGTGCTGATGCTGCTGATGGTGCTGATGGTGCTGATGGGTGTTGGGCTGCCACTTAGGCAACGATCAGCAGACTGCACGCCACGCGCGGAGCAACGGGGAGTGGGTGAGGGAGAGAGGGAGACAGGGAGGTGGTGAGGGGGGTGGTGAGGGAGGGGGTGAGGGAGAGAGGGAGACAGGGAGGGGGTGAGGGAGGGGTGAGGGAGGGGGTGAGAGAGAGAGGGAGACAGGGAGGGGGTGAGGGAGGTGGTGGATGAGGGAGGGGGTGGTGAGGGAGGGGGTGAGGGAGGGGGTGAGGGAGGGGTGAGGGAGGTGGTGAGGGAGGGGTGAGGGAGGGGGGTGAGGGAGGTGGTGAGAGGGGGGTGAGGAGGGGGGGGAGGGGTGAGGGGGGTGTGAGGGAGGGGGTGAGGAGGGGGTGGTGAGGGAGGGGGTGAGGGAGGGGGTGAGGAGGGAGGTGGTGAGGGAGGGGTGAGGGAGGGGGTGAGGAGGGGGTGAGGGGGGGTGAGGGAGGGGGGTGGGAGGTGGTGAGGGAGGAGGGTGAGGGAGGGGGTGAGGGGGTGGTGAGGGAGAGGGTGAGGGAGAGAGGGAGACAGGGACGGGGTGAGGCAGGGAGTGGGTGAGGGAGAGAGGGAGGGGGTGAGGGAGGGAGGGGTGAGGCAGGGGGGGAGGGGTGAGGGGGTGGGGGGGAGGGGGTGGGGAGGGAGGGAGGTGAGGGAGGGAGGTGGTGAGGTGGGTGACCAGGTCCCCTGTGGGTGACCAGGTCCCCTGGTGTGTGACCAGGTCTCTTGCGGCTCACCAGCTGAGGATGAAGAGGGGGATGACGCCAGCGCTCCACGGCGTTCCGCGTCCCAGCCTCGCGGCGCCGTTTCCTTCAGGTGCGAACCACGCAGCAGCAGAAGCAGCAGGAGCAGCAGCAGGAGCAGCAGCAGGAGCAGGAACAGCAGCATCAGCAGCAGCAGGAGCAGCAGCAGGAGCAGCAGCAGCAGGAGCAGCAGGAGCAGCAGGAGCAGCAGCAGCAGGAGCAGCAGCAGTAGCAGCAGCAGTAGCAACAGCAGCAGCAGGAGCAGCAGCAGCAGCAGAGCAGCGCAGCAGCAGGAGCAGCAGAAGCAGGAGCAGCAGGAGCAGCAGTAGCAGCAGCAGCAGCAGGGCAGCAGCAGCAGGAGCAGCAGGAGCAGCAGCAGCAGCAGGCAGCAGCAGCAGCAGGAGCAGCAGCAGAAGCAGCAGCAGCAGTAGCAGCAGCAGTAGCAGCAGCAGGAGCAGCAGCAGGAGCAGCAGCAGCAGTAGCAGCAGCAGGAGCAGCAGCAGGAGCAGCAGCAGTAGCAACAGCAGCAGTAGCAGGAGCAGCAGCAGCAGGAGCAGCAGCAGGAACAGCAGCAGCAGGAGCAGCAGCAGGAGCAGCAGCAGCAGGAGCAGCAGCAGCAGGAGCAGCAGCAGCAGGAGCAGCAGCAGGAGCAGCAGCAGCAGGAGCAGCAGGAGCAGCAGCAGCAGGAACAGCAGCAGCAGGAGCAGCAGCAGGAGCAGCAGAGCAGCAGCAGCAGAGGAGCAGCAGCAGAGCAGCAGCAGGAGCAGCAGCAGGAGCAGCAGCAGCAGAGCAGCAGCAGCGGAGCCAGCAGCAGCAGGAACGCAGCAGCAGAGCAGAGCAGCAGGAGCAGCAGAGCAGCAGCAGCAGCAGGAGCACAGCAGGAGCAGCAGGAGCGCAGCAGGAGCAGCAGCAGGAGCAGCAGGGGGGGTGGGTAAGAGACAGACCGCGCGTCCTCACCTTGTAGACCTCAAAACTCGCCGCGCATCACAGCGTCAAACCCGCGAAGCTAAAGGGGCAGCCCTGCAATGGCGCCCTGCTGACGGAAGGAGGGCGTTTCGCGCGAGAGGGAGCCCCCTCGATTGTGGAGCTCGGAGTTCCCCACGCGGTGCCCCCCCCCCACTACCCGCGGCACCGCGAGCTGGAGAGCAAGCGACTGCGGTGACCGCGGGGACACCGCTGCTGACGATGGCGACACTGATGACGACACTGATGATGATGATAAAGGTGATGGTGGTGTTGATAATGATGATGGTGATGATGATGTTGATGATGATGCTAATGATGCTGTTACTGATGATGCTGATGGTGCTGATGATGCTGCTGCTACTGATAGTGCTGAGGATGCTGATGGTGCTGATGGTGCTGATGATGCTGAGATGCTGATGGTGCTGATGGTGTTGATGATGATGGTGCTGATGGTGTTGATGATGATGGTGCTACTGATGGTACTGATGATGCTGCTGCTACTGATGGTGCTGATGATGCTGCTGCTACTGATGGTGCTGATGCTGCTGCTACTGATGGTGCTGATGCTACTAATGGTGCTGATGATGCTGATGATGCTGCTACTGATGCTACTGATGATGCTGATGATGCTGATGATGCTGCTACTGATGCTACTGATGGTGCTGATGATGCTGCTACTGATGATGCTGATGATGCTGATGATGCTGATGCTGCTGCTACTGATGGTGCTGATGCTACTAATGGTGCTGATGATGCTGATGATGCTGCTACTGATGCTACTGATGATGCTGATGATGCTGATGATGCTGCTACTGATGCTACTGATGGTGCTGATGATGCTGCTACTGATGATGCTGATGATGCTGCTACTGATGCTACTGATGATGCTGATGATGCTGCTATGATGCTACTGATGATGCTGATGGTGCTGATGATGCTGATGATGCTGCTGTACTGATGATGCTGATGATGCTGCTACTGATGCTACTGATGATGCTGATGGTGCTGATGATGCTGATGATGCTGCTGCTACTAATGATGTGATGATGCTGCTACTGATGGTGCTGATGATGCTGATGCTACTGATGGTACTGATGATGGGATAACGATACTGACGAGTTTGCGACGGGAGCATTAAAAAAAACCCTGGTCTGCACTCAAACTCAGGTGACCCAAACTGTAAGTCCCCGCATGTCTATGGGTCTCCATTCGTCTTTGGTCTTTATGTGAGCCGATACATTATTTTTACACGAAATGTTACTGGACAGAATCCCTTTGAAAAAACTTAAAATAGCACAACCTCCAGACTTGGAAAATTACAGGTTCCTTCTAGATTTGAAGCTTTCGTGACTGCAAGGATTCATATTATTAGGTTTTTTCGGGTAAAGTCACGTAGGTAAAACATCAAAATTAATGAAAATAAAATAAAATAAATCACGACGTTTTCGGAGGCAACACAGGCTTCCTGCTTTAGGGGCTTGGGGCGTCTATTGCCATATTCAGTTGATGTCCGATTCTGAGTGGACTCTTTACTTTCCATCTTCTCTTCGGAGATTGTCGAACATGAACCGTATTCTTTGGGTTTTTCCGGTAAAGGCAGCAAGCCACGGGACTTCACCGAAAACACCCAACCTAATATTGAATTCCTGCAGTCACGGAAGCATTAAGTCAAAACGGCAACCGCCTTGCTTGTGATGTGACTCACTCACTCCCTACCCCACTCTATTTATCTTACCCCTCTCCCTACATGCTCTCTCTACCTCTCCCCTCTAATCTCACTCTACTCCCCCCCCACGCTCTCTCCCAGTCATCCCTTCTCATCTCACTCTACTCCCCTCCACGCAATCCCTACCCTCTCCCTTCTCATCTCACTCTACTCCCCTCCACACACTTCCTACCTCCCCCCTTCGCATCTCACTCCACTCCATTCCACGTTCTCTCTCTCCCCCACAGTCCTCCCCTTTCATCTCACTCCACTTCTCCTCCACGCACTCTCCTACCTTCATCTCACTCTACTCCCCTCCACGCACTCTCCTATCTTTCCCCCTCCCATCTCCACTCCACTCCCTTCCACGCACTCCCCTACCTCTCATCTCACTCCACTCCCCTCCACGCACTCTCCTACCTCTCACTCTTCATCTCACTCCACTCTTCTCCACGCTTTCTCCCTCCGCCCGGAGCAGCCCACCATTCGCAGGAAACGGGCGGACCACTCACAACTCGCACAGCTCGATGTGGGAATCCATCGAACGTCCGGCCACCCTCGCAAGCCAAACCCCCCGAAGCCTTTCAGCATCTCCTGTTCCCCGTTCCACTCCACAGCTCAACCCACTTCAACATAAATGATCCTCAAGGTGGTCACCCCCGGGGTGCACACTAATACAAAATGGGCCGAGGCAATTCAATGTTGGTATTTCTGGGACACTATTTTTGTGTACTTCACTCCAACGACTGGGGCACCAATCAATCCGACATCGACACGCAGCTGAGGACGATTGCGCCGAGACCCCGAGCCGCGCTCGCGGTACGCACCGTGGCGGCGGTGCATCGTGAGCGCAGCTCGTCGAGACGAGTTCGATAGCGCATCGTCCACCATTAACAGACTAAAAGCGACTGCGTCACGGACATTACGCGGTACTCTGGCACATCCCGCGGGGGTACCGCCATGAGGTTCATTTCACGTCTCATCTTCTCCACATCCGCAGGGCACCCCCAGTGGCAGCTGCTTCCGGTGCGGCGCAAAAGCCCACTCAGCACCGGTAATGGTGGACACTGATAACATGTTTGTTTTTGACGAATGTGGCTCAAATAATTACGCCAAGCCACGCCCATTCCCCCCCACCACACCCAAGCCACGCCCCCCAGCCAAGCCACGCCCCTTCTCCCCACCCACCACGCCAAGCCACGCCCCTTCCCCCCACCCCACCACGCCAAGTCACGCCCCTTCCCCCCACCCCACCCACGCCAAGACAAGCCACGCCCCCCGCCACAGCCACGCCCCTTCCCCCCACCCCACCACGCCAAGCCACGCCCCTTCCCCCCACCCCACCACGCCAAGACAAGCCACGCCCCCGCCAAGCCACGCCCTTCCCCCCCCACCACACGCCAAGCCACGCCCCTTCCCCCACCCCACCACGCCAAGCACGCCCTTCCCCCACCCCCACACGCCCACACCCCCCGACTCACCCTCAACTGTGACGACAAACGTCGCCTCCTGGCGGCTCACGCGGTTGGAGGCGACGCACGAGTAGGTGGCGGCGTCGTCGGCCGCAGGCCGTCGATGGCGAGCGTGGCGTTGTTGTCGGCGTAAGCGCAGGTGGCGCCGCGGCAGCAGCGCGGGCTCCCCGCCGCGGCTCCACGCCAGCGACACCTCGTCGCCCGACGACACCGAGCAGGAGAGGCTCACGTTTCTGGCCCTCCGCCCAGGTCCCGCTCGACGCCGGGTTAGGCGACGGGGGAGAGCGAGGACCCCCCACACGGGGTCTGGAGGGGGGAGAGGTGTGGGGGAGGCGGTAGGGGTTACGGGGAAAGGGTGCAGGGAAGAGAGCGGTGGTCAGGGTCGTGGCTGTGAGGCCGGCTGGTTGTGTGCCGCCGCCGTCGCTCTCGAAGCAGCGAAACCTCCTTTCGTGCGGCCGACTCGTGCGGTCCTGGCGTCGGTCGGCACCACCAGTACCGCCGGCGCCGGCGCCGTGGCGTTAGCGCGGTGGCGTTAGTGCGGTGGCGTTAGTGCGGTGGCGTTAGTGCGGTGGCGTTAGTGCGGTGGCGTTGGCGCGGTGGCGTTAGTACGGTGGCGTTAGTGCGGTGGCGTTGGCGCGGTGGCGTTAGTGCGGTGGCGTTAGCGCGGTGGCGTTAGTGCGGTGGCGTTGGTGCGGTGGCGTTAGTAAGGTGGCGTTAGTGCGGTGGCGTTAGTACGGTGGCGTTAGTACGGTGGCGTTAGCGCGGTGGCGTTAGTGCGGTGGCGTTAGCGCGGGTGGCGTTAGTGCGGTGTCGTTAGTGCGGTGGCGTTAGTGCGGTGGCTCCGCGCAGTGGCGCGGGTGCTGCCCTCACTGAGCACGGTGACTTGGATCTGCTTGCGGTCCTTGCCGCCGTCTGCCGTGTCGGTCACGTGCACGTGTAGATGCCGCCGTCCTTCTTGGTGAGCGAGTTGAGCACCAGGGCTGCCGTTCAGCGGGTAAAGCTGCGCGCGGCCGTCGTACCTGCCCACCGTCACGTTCACACCGGCGTGACAAACACCACCGTCACACCGCGCCGTCACAACACCACCGTCACACTGCGCCCGTCCACACCGCGCCCGTCATACGACCGCTGGAACATCCCCTCCTGCGGCCATGATCTATCCGCTGCTGCGTGGAGCCCTCCCTGTGCCGGCGCCACCATCATCTCAACCCGCGGGGCCATTCGGCTGTGAGAGGTGTCGGGTGGGGGAGCACAGGCTGGCGGCGTGGAAACCCGTGCAGGACAAATATTGAATGTGCGCTGGTAAGGTCGGCGCTGTTCCCCCACGCTGCCCCCCCCATCACCCCAGTCTCATGCACACGCAGGTTGGTGCTGCCCCTACACCCCCTGCCCCCCCTGCCCCCCGCCCCCCCCCCCTGCCCCCCCCCCCCCCGCCCGTCTCGTACGTGCGCAGGTTGGTGATGCCCTGCTTGCGTTGCGCCACGCGCACTTCCCCGCCGCCGCCGCTGCGGAACACCCACTCGACGTCCACCTCGGCGTGGGGGTCGCCTGACCCGGGGGGGGGGCCCACCCCGCTGGGCCGCTGCAGCGAGAAGGAGACGTTGAGCAGCACCGAGGAGCGACGGCCCGCCGTGAGGGCCTGGGACGTGACCCCGCACCACCGCTCGGCCCTCAACGCCCGCCTCCTGGGCCCACCGCACAGACACACGCGCGCACGTGTAATATGAGGATATATCCGGCTCACTGACGTATCACAACTCGTCATGAGTGATTGGCTCTGCCGGTCCTGGTCTACAGCCAATGGGGGAGAAGCCTAGGGGGCGTGGCCCTGACGTGATGGAAAGGTGACAGCTGTAAGGATTGGTTCTGCTGGCTTTGGCCATCAGCCATGGGAGACTGAGTCAGGGGCGTGGTCCCGGGAGCTGACGAGGGAGCCTGGAAAATTCGATGCAGGCTAACGAGGATTGGCGGAAATGTACCACGTGACCCGGGTATTAAATAGGGGTGGAGACGAACGACACGTGGTCAGAACGGGAACGAACAGAGGAAGGGGGCCACGCGGGAGCGGGGCTCCGAGTTGCCACGTGGCAGTGCGTCTCTCTTGGTCTATCTGTCCCTCTCACGCTGCCTGTCAGCAGTGTGAAGGAAAGCTGTAATGCAAGTTGAATACAAGACGGATTCCAGAAGTCGTCTCAACGAGCTTTATTACACACGGAAGATCCGCCCGTGTGGGCTCCCGTTAATTATCGGACAAAGTGGGGGGGTCAGCAACCACGCCCGACACACACAACAGACAAAGGTCCCCCATATAGCCTTGACAGACTGTTTGAGCAAGTGCTGGTAGCGAGGAGCACCTGTGAAGGACGGAGCGGTACACGAGGCGGTGGGTGTGGTGGCCAGAGCCACGTGCGGCCACCTCTGCCTTCCTCGTGGCGAGGCTTACACACCGTGCCAGGTACACATTTGAGGCTGAGGCCCAGGACCACTTCAGATAATTTATCGTCGCCGGTGTTGGCCGTGAGCGGGAATCGAACTCTGGAACGCCGAGGGGGCCATCATACCTCACATCTCTCCACGGTCTCCACGGTCCGAGTTCAATCTCAGTCGGGAGACCATTTACCACGTGGATGAGTACGAAGTACCGAAGTCGAGCAGTACCTAGTAATAGTGAAGAGGAGACTTGAGATGGTTTGAGCAGGATCTTGATTCTCAAGGCAACTCACACCGCACTTCCCACTCATCATCGACAACAACCACGAACCCTCCCAAATCGTCTCCCTTAGAAGACGTCAGATGCCTTCTATGACCTCCTGTCACAGGTGGTAGCTAAAGTGACCCCTCGGATAGAGTACATCTTGTTGGGTGACTTTAATGCCCGAGTTGGTCATGATGCTGGCACCTGGTCTGGAGTAATTGGAAGGCATGGGCCAGATCAGCTCAATAACAACGGCTGAAGTCTGCTAGATTTTTGTGCAGCCATTGGGCTTGTCATTGCTAAACACGCTGTTCCGGCATCGGGCGCATCCACACCACATCATGGATGCATGCCAGGTCCAAGAAATGAACTCTGGTGGAATATTTAGTGACGGAACTGCGGGATGCGGGCCCCGTGTCCCTTGACACCCCGGACCTACCGTGGAGCTGATCTGCCCACTGACCCATCGACTTGTCATCTGTCAGATGCGCCTGCCAATTTCATTCCACTCCGGTGGTGGGCGTACACCCAGGACCCCAGTCAAACCCTTAGTGGCACGGTCTAAGCTAGCTGATGAAAGTTGCAGGTGAGAATTTCATCATCGCTTGCGGCTGGGTTGGCATCGTTCCCCACTCCCTCCTGATGTCGAAGGGAAAGGGCGAGGTTTAGGTGGTGCAATCCACCGGCGTGTCTCGAGTCGTTTGTTTGATCCCACGGATCACGGGGGAGGGGGTCGCGGGGGGAGGGGGGGGCATGGAGGTGGCGCCGTTACTTTGAGAGCCCACTTCTAAACGTCGACCGCCAACTGAACCACTCAATTCGTTTTTAGTCGCTTATCGCAATGCTGATTACCGTAAACTCCACTATATTTATATTTCGATTTAAAGCTCTTTCGTGACTGCAGGGATTCATCTTCTTGGTTCTTTCGGTAAAGTCACGTAGAAGGGGAATAATAAAGTAATAAAAATAAAATAATAAAATAATTCTCACGACGTTTCGGCCACAACGCAAGCAGCCGTCCTCAGGTGAAGAACAGGTCTGTCGGAAAGACAGCCCTTTTCAAGCTTGGTGGTGTTCATTCGGACGCTGTCTTTCCGACAGACCTGTTCTTCACCTGAGGACGGCTGCTTGCGTTGTGGCCGAAACGTCGTGAGAATTATTTTATCATGTTTTATTTGTATTACTTTATTATTTCCCTTCTACGTGACTTTACCGAAAGAACCAAGAAGAGAAACAAAGTTATAGAAATTTTAAATTTACTTTTACAAGGCTAACAACAAATCCAAATGCAGCATTCACAAACGAAAGAAACTTCTCACGTCATCTCTGGAAGCCCTCCAACTTGCCCCTAAAGCCCCCACGCCTTAATCCGGCCCTGTGGCCACTTCATGCGCCGTGCCGGCCTTCAAAAGTGCTGCTGCTGGCTAGCAGCACTTGCCCCAACAGTCTGTTAAGGCTATACGGGGGCGGGGGAGGGGCTTTGTTTTTTTTGGCGATAATTAACTCGGGGGGGGAGAGAAATTCCACAGAAACTTTGCTTATTGGACCACTGAGCTCTTTCGCTTTTTAATCCTTTATATTAAGTTCGCTTACTTGCATGCTTGCTTGCTTGCTTACGACCGTTGTAAATCTTTCGGTCGTTTTTTAACCCACTTCCCGTGATCCAATCGAGCTGACATTTTGCACACAGCCTCGTTGTGCGAGACAATTAATGTTCGTGAAAAATTTTTTCCAAAATTTTACACTGTTCAGGGAAAACAAATTAAATATTAATTACCAATTGCTTAATACTGGCAGACAATCATCTGACCCATAGGTGGCAACCATCTCAAGCCAGAGGACGAGAGGACTCTAGCCGCCACGCATATAAAGGATTTATAGTGAAAAACTTTGTTTTTACGGGTTTATACTTATTTTTGTTTCAGAAGCAACCCGGCTATTTAAAAACGACAGCTGATCGAACGATGTGGCTGATCATCACATGTGTATATAGAGCAAGCAGCCAATCACTCCAAACGCCGCGTGGTGATGTCGATTTCTAAATGTGGAGGGAGAAAATCGTACGACCCGGAGACAAATCTTCGTGACCACGGCGGAGAGAGAAAGAGAGAGAGCGCGGCGTCAGGGCCGGGTTTTAGAACCCACAACCTCCTGTATACCAGGCGAGGTAGTAAACATCTCATAGCCACCGTGGCGCCCCCTAGAGATTTTGGCTCAGCAGTTCGTACCGCGTCGCAACATTCAACGACACTCAGAAGTGGAACAAAAGGGGTTAAAGGCGCAGCCCTGCAATTGCCCAGACGTATTGGAAGTGGGGGTGGGCTACCCACCCACACGCGAGCGCACCACTGGCGATCTGCCGAGCGACGAACTTCTTGCGTCGTAACCAATTCGTACCACCGAGTGGGTGAGCGGGCAGCGACGGGATGGGGGG